GGGGCAGGGGGAGGGGGGAGGGGAGGAGGGCATAGAAGGGATAGGGGATGGAAAAAATAAGTGGCAATGTGCTTATTTACTGCTCTGTTCACTGGAATAAAATCTAGACAGGGATATGTCCGTGCTTTTATTTCTAATATGCCTCAAGCTAAAACATCACTAGGCACACAGAAAGACATAATTATTGCATGAGTGAAATGATTGAGGTAGCTATGGTTAATTTTTTTTTTTTTCCAGAAAATTTGGTGGGAGATAGTTTAAAAGAGAAATAGTTTGTGGAGGATTTGTTTTCAGATGGAGGTATGGTGGCTATCTGGGGTAAACTCTTACACAGAGCTTGCAGTGTGCACTGATAGGCAGACCTAGTTCAGGCTGAGCCAGCACTCTCACACTTCATGGCAAGAAGAGTTAACATCTGGTCTAATAAATTGATCCTGGGGTTTTCTATAGAGATGTGTTCCTATAAGTTCACATTCTGCCACTGAAAACAGAAACTAGGATGAGAAATGTGCTCAAGGCAATCTAGAAACCACAAAGCATCTGCATGCAAGGCCTGGCACCTTTGCATTTGGGGATAGTGGGTGTCCATACCCCCTTAGAGGTACAATGTATGGATTCTTCACCCACCAACACACAGCCAGGGTCACAGCTGTATTTTATGGATGTCCCAGGATCAAAGCGGATCCTGTGTCTCTTCCTTTTGCAGGTTGGGGAATTTAGGAGAGGAGCAGGAAGAAACAGCCGAAGAAACTGGCATTAACGCTAAAACTCCCCTCTGGTGGCAGTTGTATGGTACAGAGGTATTTTGCAGCCCAGCTGGGGGTTCTCAGCCTTGTCTTTTCTGCACTTAGGCTGCTGATTTTGCTCAGTTCCCACTCGGTGTTCTTCCTCCTCTCATCTCTTCCTTTCTTAAGGGATCACCTTGTATGCTTTCAATGGGAGATTCTAATACATCCATGGGGTGGGGCTTTGCTGACTTCCCTTTTTAGTTTCAGTATTAGTTTGAGGTGACTCTATACTGCCTTCCACAGTGGCTTCACCAGTCTGTATTCGACTTAAGATACAAATAAGTGGAACCACATACTGTATCCATGGATCAGAAGGATTAACATCCCAATTAGTATTGTGACAAGATGAAGAAAATAGGTGTTTGCCCTGGAAAAGGTGCAATTGCAGACTGAGACCTTATGAGAACTGAAAGACAGGGTGTGAGTAACTTCATCTCTCTGAGCTTGACCAAAGGCCAATGGTCAGCAATGAGAGGCCAGAGAAAACCTCCTAAAACAAGGCAGATGAAATTAAGTAAAGCAGCTCTCACAGACACAGACAAGACTAAGTAAGCCCTTACAAGGTTCTGAAATGATGATGTGAGGCAAAGGAATGCCAATCTGGGGAATCTCCAGGGTCCAGTTTGAGGATGGACAGGTAGGCTTTAAGGATGCCCTCATGATCTCTGCCTCCAGTAGGCATGCCTTTGGGTAATTCCCCTCTTTCTTGAGGGAGGGCAGGACCTGTAACTTGCTTCTAACCAATGGAATGAAACACTGGTAATGGAATGTCTGTGACTGCATTTACACAATCACCTAAGAGTGCAGCACACATCCAGCTTAGTCTCCCAGTGCTGGTTTTGAAAAAGCAACTTGCCATGAATCCTACGGCCACAAGGAAATAAATTCTGCTACAAACCCAAGAGGCCTTGGAAGGAGACCTTTTCCCAGTCAAGGCTCTGACAAGAACCCAGCTTTGGCTGACACCTTTTTTGCAGCCTTGTGAGACCATGGGTAGAATACCCAGCTGAGCCCAGACTTCTGACTCACAGAAAGCGTCAGATAATCACCATGTGTTGTTTTAAGCAGCTACATTTGTGGTAATCTGTCATGCAGCAATGGAAAACTAGTGTACTGGCCTATGCCCATATCCTCCCTATAGACTTTTCCTCTTCTAGACAATTTCATTTCCAAATACTCAACATTTAGATTCTTTCCTCTAGTTGTGGACAGCTGAGTTTAAAAACACTTATCCAAACTTTATTACTCTTTGGGTAAAAATTAACCTATGTTCTTTTCCCTGTTTTAAAGATTAATATTTCAAAAGTAAAAGAAATGACAATAAATTAGCAGGGGCCAGCTTTTATGTACACAGTTGTCCTCAACTAAGTGCAGCAAGGACACCTTCTGTTTGGCATACAGGCCTCTCTTCAGTTAGACTGAGCTCTTTGTAGTTAAGTGTCCTCTCCAAACCTTACATGTACTAGACATTCAATAATTGTTGAACTGAAACTGTAATTTCTTTTAAGTTTATTAATTAAGGATATCTGTTCTGGCTTCACTTCAGCTTGATGCCCCAAAACATGAAGACCTATGAAAGGATGGATACTGGGACCACAAACAATGAATATGCCAATGTTATTGTTGCCAGAGCCAAATTTTACAAGAAAGGAAAGAAAACAAAGGGTAGCTAGATTCAGAGTTTCTTCACCATCAAGAGAATTTCCCAGTACTCCACCTCTCCGAAGAGTCTAATATCTCCCCACCCTACAGGTATCTGACATAGAAAAAAGGAAATGGAACAATTATCTCTAAAATATTTTTTTCTTCTTTTAAAAAGCAACCTCTACTGTTGGTAGAGGTGTCTTAGGAATTCAAAGAACACCAGTAAACTTTAGGCCAAATTAGATTTAGAAACAGAAAATAGTTTTTGGTACTATATTTAAGTATGAAATAAAGCCAAGTCCACATATGGGTTTATAGACACTAAAGCACAAAGCAGCAGATCTAGCTGTACCCAAGGTTTAATGAGTGGCTGAAACACTGGTCTCTGGCAGAACACACCACGAGCACCTGAAGGGCGGCTCTGGATTTCGTCAGCACATAACATAATGCTCACTCAAAGGGCCATTCAAAGAATTTGTTGAATTCAGTTAAACGGGAAAACAAAAAAAAAATTTTTAAGGTGACATCTGAATCTGGATGTTCAAACAATGCCACTCTCACCCATGTTGCAGTGAAACTATGGGGGGCAAAGGGGAGAAAACTAAACCAAATAATAGCACTAAAGCCTCCGAGCCTATAGTAAGAAAGAATCATACCCTGTTAGTCAGTAAAAATGACTAGCATTTAAAACATATTTTAATGAGAACACTTTCTAACCATCTTTAAATAAAAATGATTTTAGGACTTAATTGCTTTCTGGTCCATGGGGCTTAGGTGCCACCGCACTATTAACTCTCCAGTGCTCTTGAGGCAGGTGTGAGCCATGTCCTCCTCTGTTGGAAGTCCTTGTGGCAACCTCAGAGGCTTGATTCTTATCAAATGTTTAACCACTTTCAGTTTTGCATTCACTGAAGGGATGTTCTTGTGAACTTGAGGAGTATGCGCCTATAAACAAAAGGAAATAGCATTAGGGATCAATTTTAAAAATGCAGACGTCCCATGTTTCAGTAAAATTAATGAAGGCTCATTCTGTCTAAATCAAACTTTCAAATACATTCCACTAACTAATACATTTAAACAAAAAATATTAAATATATAAAGTTTAAAAAGAGTCAAATTTAAAACAAACTTAAGTGCTCAAGATGACTAAAATAGTTGCATACTTTTTCTAATCCAAGCATCTTTATTACATCTTTTTCCCAATATGGACGTCTTTTTGTACTTTTTATTCTGGTAACAACGTGAAGTTTATGAGGGTGCTGTGGATCCCCACCATATTTTTCATGATCTTCAGGTGAAGGCTGAAACACCTAGAAAGGAAGAATCATACATGGTAAATTTTCAACTTATACAGTTTATATGTACCTCTGTTTTTTCCCTAAAAAAAAAAAAAGACCCCAAATAACTACATAATGATCTCATCCCTAATCTTTCTATAATTTTCAACTTCAAATTGAACATTTCTACTAGTCTGATTACTTAGATAGAATCTAAGAATTTCATACTCTAAGGAAATATCACACAGGCAAGGATTTTGTTTTGCTTGTTTTTTTGAAGGACAAGGGAGAAGCAACCAGGTGCCACTGAAGAGTTTGGATGGGCACTGTGGGAACTCCTTTTTTTCTTGCTCCCTGGCCATCTTGATGGCTGCTCTCGGTTATGAGCCATCTGCACCTAAAAGGCAGGAAGATGGTGGCTGCAAAGAAGAAGAAAAAGTTGCTGGAGTTGATCAACTCTAGGCTCCAACTTGTTATGAAAAGTGGGAAGTACGTGCTGAGGTATAGACTCTAAAGATGATCAGAAAAGGCAAAGCAAAGCTGGTCATCCTCACCAACACATGTCCAGCCTTCAGGAAATCTGAAAGAGAGTACTACACCATGTTGGCCAAGCCTGGTGCCTAGCACTACAGTGGCAATAATATTGAATTGGCACCAGCATGTGGAAAATAATAGAGTATGCACACTGGCTATCACTGATCCAGATGATGTCATTAGAAGCATGCCAGAACAGACTGGTGAAAAGTAAATCATGCAAAATTTTTCTTTAATAAAAGTGGCCAGAGCTTGGTTTAAAAACACAAACAAAAATAAAATAAAAAAAGAGTTCGAATGCCAGGAGAATGTATTAAGCACTATAAAAACTGGGCACTGGGCTGCCCCCTGCCCCTGTTCAAATGGAAGAACAAACATATAAGTCTAAACTGACAATAAAACATGAGTATTATAGGCCCTGGCCTGGTAGCTCAGTTGGTTAGAACGTCATCCCGATACACCAAGGTTGTGGGTCCAATCCCTGGTCAGGGCTCACACAAGAATCAACCAATGAATGCATGCATAAATAAGTGGAACAAATTGATGTTTCTCTCACCTCTTTCTCTCCCTCTCTCTTCCTCCTTCTCCCTCTCTCTCAAATCACTAAATAAAATTTTTTAAAAAGCCATGAATATCGTACAAAACACGTACCAAGTAGAGTACAGGCAAATGACTATGCCTATGAGGGATCAGAAACAGCCCACAGAGCTGACATTTGAACTGATTCTCTAAGAATCAAAAGGTTCTAGGAAGCTATCCCACAGAAAAACGTCCGTAAGTACATAAATCTTCCATAAGTACATGAAAAACTTAAAGGCCATATCCATGTTCCTCAACAGACTGAATACATTATGATGTATACATTCTAAATAAACCTAGTAATAAAACTAAAAACAATATGATGTAACTAGAGAAATGATAATTTTTCCTACTGGATACAATGCTGCCATTGAAACAAATAAGGTTTACTCTCTTTGCAGGTACCAACATTAGGATGGCCATAATACATTCTTGAGCAAAACAAAACAAAACCAAGAACAAAAAACACAAACCTTTTCACGCCACTATGCGTATGTAGTAGGATCTTATACTTGTTTCATCTGTACCAAATACACAAGTGTATATATACGATATATACTATAAATACCGATTCTAGGAGTTACATATATATATACATATACGCGCGTGTGTGTGTGTGTGTGTGTGTGTGTGTGTGTATGCTTACATATGTATAAAGGACACAAAGACATTACATCAAGAGTCATACCTCTGGGGAATCAGACTGAAGAAAGACCAAAGCAGGTGGTGCTTTAATCATTAAAAGTAATAGTGTAGAAACTTACCCACTGAGAGGTTCACATTATATTGTGAATGAAGAAAGCATCTAGAGAAGCATTATACAGGGATGGGCAAAGTAGGTTAATAATAATAATAAATAATACAATAATTAATTAATTAGTTAATTAATAATAATACAATAAACTGTTTCGAGTACTTGCAACTGCAAACCTACCTTTGCCCACCCCTGTATATGAAAAATTCGCATGTTTAAAAATATATAACAGAAAAGGATGTGGAAAGTGTCACAGTAGCTATCTCCAGGTACATGGGACTTAAGTTATTTTTTGGTTCTTTGTGCTTGTTTGTATTTTTCGAGGGATTTTGAAGAGATGTTTGCCAAACCTTGCTCTAGACAATGTGCGGAAGAAGAGTGGCAGGCAGAGGATGGGGCAAAGAGAAGGAGAGAAAACAGAAAGAAACAGTGTTAAGAGTATGAAATATTTGGGAAAACCAAGTGGTTCCGTGTGGCTAACATAGAAAAAGTCATGAAAAGCAATGCAGGGGATAAAATTAAACAATATCAGGTATGCTGAGCCTTTAGAAATTTCCAGATGGGATAATAAACTATTGAAGGTTTGAAGCAACATGACCACAGTTCCAACAGATTCAGAAAGAAAACTTACAAGAGAATAAAATGAGCCAGTGGTGGGAGACTGGTATAAGGAAACCCAGTTAGGAAACATTTAAGGCCATGGTTTAAGAGCCTGAACTACAGTAGTTGCAACAGCAAAGGGACTGATTTGGACTTGGGGCAGTGAAATAGATGGGTCTGTGGAGGATGCAGAAGGAGGAGGAGTTGAGGCTGACTCATGAGGTCTCCAGTCTGGGAAACCAGGTAGAAGATGGTAGCACTAACTGACATAACTAATACAGGACGAGCACGCTCTTTTTCTAAAACTGCTCTAAAAAATAGTCTATTCGTTTAAAAAAACAAAACAAAAATCAATGGGGGGCTTAGCCAGTGTTTTCTGGAAAAAAAGAAAAAGAAAAAAAAATATGCGTACACATAAACCTGACAGAGAAAACTCAAAGATCCAATAGTGAACATAGAAAAGAAAGAGCCACAAAGACAGAGCTTGGAAGCACGAAGAAGAAGGCTGTTTTTTCCTAAACAATGGTGATATGAAAATGCAAAGTACTAAGGGGAAAAACATACAGAGTAATAAACAGATTGAGATGATTAAAACCCACTACTCAGAGGGCAAGTGGCACATACTTATTTTTAATAATCATTTACATAAATCCTTCTATGCTCTAAACTCTGCACTACTACCTACATCCACAAATAATTTACCATAAACGTTTTCAACATCACAAAAACAGGAACCTTTTAAAAATAACATGTTTTAAAAAAAATAGTAAATTAAAAAACCCCAAAAAACTCTTGCTCTTACTTTATCTGGAATTCTTGACTTGGTAAATTTATGACGAATCCAATGTGTACAAAGGAGAGACTCCACACCTTTTGTCACAGTCTAAAATATGACATAAAACAGTATTTTTTAGAACTCTGTCTAGTGCAGAAATACATACCCATCAATTTTTAGGTGACAAAAATCTGTTTTTACCTAACCTGTAATTTTAAACATTAATCTCAGCCCCCTACATGAATCTTACCACTAACGTATTATAAAATAAAAATCCACACAATTATAGGCTTCTAGACCAGGGGTTGGCAGTATTTTTCTATAAAGGACCAGATAATAAATATTTCCATCTTGGAGTTGTACGATTTCCATTGCCAAGTCTCAACGCTGCCACTGTAGGGCAAAAATAGCTTAGACAATATATAAACAAATAGGTGTGGCTGTGTTCCAATAAAACTTTATTTACAAAAATACGTGGTGGGCTGAATTTGGCCTGCAGGCCATAGTTTGCCAAACCCTGCTCTAGACAATGTGCAGTAATTCACCTTCAACAATACAATGGAAAAGACAAGACAAAATGAGTTTCAAGTTTTCTTTTTCGTCCCAACAATTCCATCACTCCTAGTGCCCACCTCTTGTTACCTTCCTACAATCCTCCATCCTGTTTCTCTCAGTCTGCAAAAGAGAAAGGATTCACTGCCAATCCTTCATACCAGGAAACTGCTCTCTGGGTGGGCAATAATCATTCCCATCACGCCCTCCCTGTACTGCAGAGATGGCATAAACAACGAGAGAGGTGGCAGGAGGCAATGGGGAACGAAGGCAAAGGAAAAACATAGGTTTGGACATACCACCAGCACTGGGCTTCTGTGCCTACCAGCTGTGAGAAATGAGACTCTCATCCTCTCAGAGGGTCAGTTTCCTCAGCTATAAAAAGGAGATAATACTGACCACATGAGATTAATCTGAGGTTCAGGTAATGTATGTAAAGCGCCTGACACTACTATTATCTATAGCCAGCAGAAGGTCTGTATCTAGACTCTAGCCCTCATGAATAGTTTAGGCTGCAGGACCGCAGTTTCTAAAAGAAAGACTTGGAAGAAATACATGACAATATAAACACCAACGGTCTCTGGGACATTGTTTTTCTTCTTTCTGCTTTTCTATATTTTCCCAATTTCCTAAGATTGAAGGAAAAAAAGACTACCTAAAACTTAAAAAAAATTCAGTCAGACCAAGGGGAATCAATGTTGGCCATTTTTTTTAGCAGTATGTTCTCCAGGAAAAGATCTTTTGTGATTCCAAATGTTTAGGAATAAAACAGCAGATAAACCATAAATACACAAAATTAACCCTCAACATTACATTAGCTCAACATTATGAGCTAAGTTTAACTTGCTCATATGTTCTGTTAATTAGAAAAGAGAAAAAAAATTTAAATATAGAAAAAAAAAAAGATAACTCTTGAAAAGAAAAACTTACGTGTAGTCTGCCTGGGGGCCTCTGAACTATTGAGCGCAAAATCCCGGCCATGAGTGTGAGTGTGGTGACTGTTCTCTGCGTAGGCTGTGACAGGTAGAAAACAGATCTGTGGGTCAACTATGTCTTGGAATTGAACAGATCTCCCCTCTATTTAAAAAGTTAAACAAGTTAACTGTAAGCTTGATTGAAGTTTAAGAGTAAAATCTTGGTTATTTTAATACGATAAAGGGAAGAATTAAGTTACAATAAATGTTTAATTTGGAGTTCAGCAAAACCATAGGTAGTAATTATACATTAACCATATCCCATTTGTATCAAATGAGTTAGAGCCTCGACTGATTCAACAAAAATGGGGCAATGGGCGTTACTATTATTTTAAAAATCTTCAACAATGAGGTCAGATAAAGAATGCTTTGTTGCAGAATAAAAATATTAAAGAAATCCCAATGCCTAACATTAGAATTGTCAACCCTCTTATGTTCTGTAGAAGAAAATGAATCCCAGAAAGCTCAATCATTCACCCAAGGGCACCCAGTTATCCAGGGAGCATATGGTTTGGAACTCAATTCCATTAATACCTAGTCCAGTGCATTTTCACTAAATCACAACACCTTTCTGTTAAAAAGTAAAGCAGAACTCTCTTTTTTAAACTATTCTTAACAAACACTCATTGCTTCTATGACCTAAACAAAAAAAGTCACATTTAGACACGTAACAATTATAGCCTACTATACTGTCATATACTGAAAGCAGAAAGATAGGATACATGACTTCAGACCTCAAACATGACAATGCAGCATAACAGTTTCTAGTTGAAATCTCCTACTGTTTGCTTGGCTGGTTGTTATATATTTGTATCGAGGCTTCCTTAGAAGAGATGCTTAGTCCCCTGGCCCTCCAATCAAATAGGTAATGGTAAATTATTTTCTCTACTATACTTCTGCCTCCCAAGTTAAATGTTATATATTAACTCAATTCATTTAGCTTCACACTTTGTTAAATCTTTTTCTGTCACTTAGAATTCAACAAAAGCCTCCTAATTGGCCTCCCTGCTTCCATTCCAACCTCCCTCTCTATAGTAGCAATCATCTCATTAAACCCTAAATCAGATCATGTCAACTCCTCTGCTCAAAACCTTCCAAAGAGCCAGGTTTGTCGCTGTTAGAGGAGGTTACACATAAGAAGGGAAGGCTAGAATAATCCACATGGTCCAATGATACAGAATTAGAGTTGGAACTCATGTTCAGCTCAATATAGATATTAATGGATATAGACACAATTATAAACATGGATGTAACATGGACTATCTGTTACCTCAGAGGACCTCAAAGCAATGGTATCCCAGTACCTTAGTTTCTAACAGAATTCTCTAATAAAAGGAACCAGGGCTCCTTGGAGAAATAGTTGAGTACATGGCTGCAGCAGGGGATATAAAAAGGTGAGTCTGGAACACTTTGTGCTAGAAATGAACACTAGAAAAATCAAAATGATGAGGAGATGTCAAAGGGACATAGGAGCCAAATGAGAGAGCTTTCAATGGCTAAAGCTGAAATAATATATGCAACAAAATAAGTAACAAAGTATTGGCTTATAATCCAAACCATAAAATAATCATGAGTCCATCCTGATATAATTAAGTGAACAAATTAATGAGAAGAAACAAATCTCCCTTCCAGAAGAATTCCAAATAGTTTATATAGATATTCCCCCCTCAAAGAGATGAGCAAAACCACTCACCCCTTAAGTGTGGTCTGTGCTCAACGACCTGCTCCCACAGGACAGTATAGAAAGGGGGAGAATACACTACACTAGAGAAACCTGACAAACACTACATCAGCCAGAAAGATTAACATCAACCGTGATAAAAGTCAAGTTGATAGCATGTATCCTTGATATGACAGAATTTGAATGGCACTTCACCTCTGTGGTCTTCTTCCCAAAACCCCATTAACACCACTTTTACAAGGAAAACATCAAACTCCTATTGAGGGACACTGTACAAAATACCTGACTGCCTCAAAATTGTCAAGGTTATCATAAACAGGAAAGCCTGAGAAATTATCATAGTCATGAGGAGCCTAACGAGACACGATGACTAAATGTAGTTATGCAGTATCTTAGATGGGATTCTGGAAGAGTAAACTGGACATCACATAAAAACTAAGAAAATCTGAATGAAGTATAAACTTTAGTTAACAATGTATCCATATTGGCTCATCAATTATACTAATTTAAGACGTTAAAAGGGGAGACTGGGCGCAGATATATAGGATCTCTGTGCTATCTTCACAAGTTTCTAAAATCTAAAGCTATTCTAAAATTATTTATTAAAAAATGAAAACCTCCAATGCCTGTCCATTTCAATCAGAGTGGTAGACAGTCCTAACCACTCCCTCTTAGACTTCATGGCCACTTAATCTCTTGCTCCATCACTGAACATATTGGTCCCCTTGCTGGTTCTGGAACTTGCCCTCAGGTAGGCATGCTCCCTTATACTGGCTGTTCATCCTCCTGATATTCACATGGTTAAATCCCTTCCTTCCTTCCATTTTTGGCTCAAATCTCATCTTCTCAATGAGGTCTACTCTGATTCTACTATTTAACATTTTGACCCACACCACAGTCGTCAGCACTCCCAATCCCTCTTCCTCTATTTGATTTTCTTTTCATAGCACTTATCTTCTAACATAATTGAACTATTTGTGAGGTTTGTGGTTTATTGTCTATCTCCACCCAACAGCATGTTAATTCCACAGGGTCAAGGATTTTTAAATTTTGTTTTGATTTTGGTCTGTTCTGTCTGTTCAGATATATCCCAAGCACCTATCTAAAGCAGCACCTGCCATGTAGTAGGCAATCAATTAACTTTTGCTCAATGAATGAAGTTTAAGTTATTGACTTCAGGTGTGACAGTCACAAGTTATAAGTTTTATTAAAAGTTATTCTTAATAATTAGGCACATAACTCTTGGACCTCGAAACAATTATAGTATCTTCTACTGTACAATACCTTTTCTTTTTTTATCAAAATGGTTTCTATTTTTCCCCTTTTTATTGAATTTATTGGGGTGACCCTGGTTAACAAAATGATACAGGTTTCACACAGTTCCACAATACATCATCTGTACACTGTATTGTGTGTTCACCATCCCAAGTAATAACTTTTCTCTTGCACCAATGCAAAAACAGGAAAATACGTGCATCATATGAGAAGTATGATCCATTTTCATTAAAATGTCAGTGAAAGAGTGTGTGCGTGTGTGTGTGTACACAGAAAAAGTGTGGGAGGTTATCAGAAAAATGTTAATATGCTCCGGGGGGAGGGGGGGCACGGACAGGCTACCAGGGCAATTTTTACTCTTTTCTTCCTGTAATATTCGATAGCTTGTTATTGCTGTTCTTTTACAATTACCATGCATATAACTGTTCTTTAAAAAACAAAACTATTTCCTTTCTTAAAGAGACATCTATGTAATGATAAATGGGACGGAGGGAGGATTGGTAAAAATGCAAAACACAAAACCCCATTTCCGAGAAACCGAGATCTCTGAAGGCAAGAAATGTCTCTGCTTTGAATTCCTGATGCCTGACAAGCACTAGGCAGACCGCTTAAGCGCCTTTTGGCAAAAACACGCAGCGCAAGCAGCTTCGGGTAGGTGGCGACCAAGACACGGCTGCAAAATCACAGCTTTCAGTAAAACGGCAAATATTTTAACTGCTAACTTCGGAAGGTTCGCCTTCTAAAATGCAGCAATTTAAAAACCAGGCAATTTTGTCTCTTCATTAAAAACAGATTAAATTACGCTGATGCCCAACTGGGGAGCCAAGCGTGACGAGTAAAACAGAAGCAGCGTAGAAAACGCGAACCCAAACCAGAGGCCCTTTCCCAGCTGTGCAGCCCTAGGCGCCCGACCCCGGGGCGCCCCGAAACCCGCTCCACGGGCCGCAGCGCCGAATCCCTCCCGCCTGGAAAGCGGGTTAGGGCGGCCCACGGCCCCCGGGCGCCAAAGGGGCAGCGCCCGGACGCAGGCCCAGCTGGGTTACCGTGACCCGCCAGCGCAAATAGGGGAAATCAATCCGCATCTACACAGGGTGCCCAGATACGCACTCCAGGCAAAAACGCAGTCCTTTCGGCCACGTATTTCCCACTCGCAGGCGCTTGCTAAATGTCGTTAGGCCTGAACTTACCGCCGACAGGAAGCTGAACAGAGGCGAGGCCACCGAGTGCTACACTCAAATTCGGCCGTCACAGTCCCGGCGAAATGCTGCACTTTAGTTCCGGCCGAGTCCCTTTCACTCCAGGGCCAAAAGCTGAACGTTCCGGCCCGCACCTTAGTGTCACGTGATCACTACCGGAAGCGCCGCAGATCCCTGCACTTTGGCTGGGCTGGAGGCGAAGAGGAGTTCCCGGAATCATGGCAAAATCTAGGCTGGGGCTGGATCCCGAGAGCGTGGCTGCAACCACTGTGCTGAAGCGGGCAGTGGAGCTAGATTCCGAGTCCCGGTACCACCAGGCTCTAGTGTGTTACCAGGAGGGGATTGACCTGCTCTTGCAGGTTTTAAAAGGTGAGCAATGAACCCAGGAGGGAGGGTCGCAGAAAAGGGGCAGCATCCTGCTGTGTCCGGGCGGAGTGTACGAGTTAATGATTATTTTATTATTTTATTTTATTGATTTCAGAGCGAGGAAAGGCGAGGGACAGAGAGAGAGAGAAACATCAATGATGAGTCGTCATTGATCGGCTGCCTCCTGCACGCCCCCTACTGGGGATCGAGCCCCCACCAGACCTGTGCCCTGACCGGGAATCGAACTGTGATCTCCTGGTTCCTAGGTCATGCTCTGCCGCTGAGCCACACCCGGCTGGGCGAGTTAATATTCTTGTGCACCGCAGGGAAGCAGGCAAATACAGGTCGGATGGACTGATTTCTTTTATATATTTAATCGGTTAATATCATCAAGAAAAGGGGGGGTAGGTACTACCATAGATTTTTAAAAGGCATAACAAAATATAATATACAAGCCTTTATAGGACTTGTGTTTGAACGAACTGTAGAAGACATTTTGGGGTCAGTTTGGAAAGTCAGAATATGGATTTGGTAACATTAAAATTATTAGCTTTGTCAGGCAGTAGGGTTTCTTCGAAAGCTGTTTTTAATTTTAACTTTTTAAAACTGTTTTTTAATTTTTAGAGATGCAGACTGTAGTATTTCCGGAAGAAACGTTGAAGCAAATGTGGCAAAATGCTAACAATTTTTAAAGGATGTTCATTACACTATTAAGCTTACTTTTCTTTTTAACAGTTTCATTAAAAGTAAACAAAAATAAAATCACATAGTGGTAGAAGAAAAAACATTTTTTTCCATAAGATTTAGGTTCACTGTGGGTGGGGACAATGAGACTTTGTTACATAATTTTTCAGTGTTGTGAAGTACCCAAATAACCCTAACACCAGCACACTCTGTTATATAGTAGACATCCAGGAATTGTTTTAAATTGCTTCCCCCACCCTGGAGCTCCCAGTCTGGCTTAAGATCCCCCGCCCAGCTCCTGCCCCTTTTGCCTTTTAGCAGAGGGTGCTCTTCAATGTTAGGTGCTTCTCTCAACTGTAAAACTACCTTGAGCAGCACCCATTTAATGGTGATGAGGATGGTAACAGTAAGAGTATTATCACCTATGAGTGCTGAGTGCCAGGCACTGTGCAGAACACATTAAAAGCATGATCTCAGTTCATCCTTACAGTTGTCCTATGAAGTAGGAGGTGATGTTATCCTCATTTTATAACACGAAAAATAAGTTTACTTTCCAGTTCTGCTATTGATAGAGTCACAGTTGGCAGAGTCACAACTGGAAGCCAAGGCTTTAAAGACTCTGGTGTACCGACTGCCAAAAAGAGAGATGGTGTACAGTGTTGGTCAGGTGGAGTGCTGCTCAAGTCCTGGCATTGTAGGAAGCTGAAGCAGGAGAATCACAGGAGTGCTGCTCAAGTGTGCTCCGCTGATCCTGTAGAGGTTACAGAGTCAGTGACTTGATCTTACAGGTTAAGGTACAGATGGAAAATAACTAATACAGGGAGTAAGTGCCAGGAGAGAGCTATGGACAAGTGCAGTGAGGACTTAAACAGTTAAAGGTCATTTGGGGGTGAAAAGGTGGATGTGGCTTTTGATATAGGACCTTTGGAGGAATAACTAGAATTTCAGAAACCAGACATTCAGCTAATAGTGTTCAAATTCTGTCTGTGCTGTTTAACCAGATAAGTGCTGCTTTTTGGTTTGGTGTGTGTCCTTAGAGGAAGAGTGGGAAGTAAAGATTAAAGGTAGACTGGGTCTTGGAGCACACTGTGGATGGCCTTGACTGCTAGATGTTTTAACTCATTTCATAGACAAGGAGAAACCATCTAAAGTTTTTACAAAGCAGTGATGTCATTAAAGTTACATCTCAGGGCTTGTCTCTCTTAGGAATATGCTCTTTTCCCAAATATTTGCATGGCCTACTCCCTCTCTTCTTTCAGCCTTTAAACCAGCTGTCACCTTCTTTGTGAGGCCTTCCCCGACCTCCAGGGTAACATTACCACCTTACCCAGGACTCCCTCATCCTTCTTCCTTTATTTTCTTTAATAGCACTTATCACAATCTAATGTACATGTTTTACCAATTTAACTTTACTCCCACCTGAATGATAGGGGAGAATTGTGTCTGTTTTATTAACTGCTTCACCCCCAGTGCTTAGGAGAATGCCTGGAATGGAGTACGTCCTCAGTAATTATTTCTCGAGTAATCAGTAAATATGGCAAGAGTGTAGGAGACACATTAACCTGAAGAGACTGAAGTCAAGCAGGCCAATTAAGGAGCTCCTGCAGGGATCAAGAGGAGAGGTGATAAGGGGTCTGAATGAATTAGGGAGGTGACACTAATATTAGGAAAAGGAAGAGACGGTGGAAATATTGAATTACTGGCATTGGAACATGACCGAAAAATTTGTGTGACTCACTTTCTTGCAATAATTGCTTTATTCAGTGGTCTGGAACTAAAGCCAAAATATCTCTGGGATATGCCCATATGTGTATATTTGTAAACCTACGTATACTTTCTAGCTGTGTTGACTGAAAGGGTCTAGAAGTAGTGCTAGGACTCCCTTAGTAGCAATGAGCATGCTTAGCACCCAGAAATTGATGGTACCATTCTCCAGTAAAAGGTACCAAGGCTCCTTGGAAAAATGGTTGCTTCCTGGGCTGGGGCAGGGAAAATACAAGATGAATTTAGAACATTTTGTACCAAAGAAGTAAGGAAGTGCTTAAAAGATGATGGGGCATATCCAAAGAACACAGGAGCCAACATTAAAGAGCTCTCAAAGCCAAAACTGATAAAACTCGAGCAAGAAAATGATGATAGTATTGGGTTACAACCCATAGAATAAAATAAATACCCATGAGTCCATACGGATATAAATTAATAATTGAATAAATAGATGGGGAGAAGGAACGGTTCTTCCTTACAGAATTCCAATTAATAAATAGAAATGATGACAACAGAAAATCACCATTTGGCAAACGCTATAGTAATACTTGTTGCTGGCAAGGGCCATGGATGGATGCTAAAACTAATGGGTCAGAGTGATGCAAAACAGGATGTTTTTCCTCAAGATACTTATTATTACAAAGGAGAAAATAGTGGTTTTACAATAGAGAGATTTATGAACTGCACTGTAACCAAGTGATCAGAGTTAACATCACCAGTAATAAGACACATCGACATCATGTACCCACTGAGAAGGGCACAAAACTTCTGTGATTTTCTTGCCAAAAAAGCGTAACCTTAATCTAATGAGAAAACGGCAACGGCCCAAAACGAGAGACATTCTGCAAAATGGCTGACCGCTACTCTTCCTAAGTGTCAAGGTCATAAAAAGCAGAGAGAGACTAAGGAACTATTACAAATTGGAGTACACAAAGTAGGAGACATAACTAAATGCTATGTGGGATCCAGGACCAGAAAACAAACTTTCTTTATTGGAAAAATTGGGGAAATAGTTTATAGATGAGTTAATAGTATTGTGTCAATGTTAGTTTCCTGACTCTGATAATTGTACTCTAGTTATATAATATGTTTATATTAGGGGAAATTCTGGGCAAAGGGAGTGTGCACCATTTTTGCAACTTTCCATAAATATAAAATTAATTCAAAATAAAATGTTTTAAAAACTGAGAGTTTAAAATGAAATTGTTACGGAAAATATAAGCAATATCAAAAGGAAGGAACCAGAAGTGATTTGGTAACTGATTGGGTTTCGGGGTGGTGGGGACTTTGGGATACAGTTTTATTGATAATGTATATTCAAAATTACCTTACATTTTGGGGTGGCTACGAAAATGAGCCACTATAATGGAGAGATTGGAAGAGAAGCTGGTTTTGTGGAAAAAAGAAAGATATTGTTAGTCTTTTTTGATTTGCTAAGATTTCAAACTTGTGGGTGATTAGGACAAAATAGTGCGCAGACTCAGGTTTGACATGTAATAAGCCGCCTTTGTTGACTCACCAGGTTTGGTGTGTCCAGCAGTGAGACAGTGTCAGAGTCCCCACTCTTAAATAAAGCTGCTTCAGATGCTTAGTACCCCAGTGGTCAAGTCCTAATTTGTGTATTTTAGGACTGAGACAAACCGTGTTAAGGGACAGGAAATGTGTGGAAGACTTGTGAAGCTGGAAACACTGCCTATACTAAACAGAAAAACTGCACTGAAACTTTGGAATATATATTTTTTAATTTGTAGGCACCAAAGATGATGCAAAGAAATGTACTCTCAGAAAAAAAATTTCTGACTACATGGATAGAGCAGAAAACATAAAGAAATACTTGGATCAAGAAAAAGAAGGTAAAGCTGCTGTTTTAGAGAATGTGTTCCTACACCGTTGACATTTCACCTTGTGTTTCTGGCTCTGCCTTTGGAGTTCTGTGTGGTGTGGACCGTTTATCCCTGGAGCTGACAGGTTTACTCTGCATTTCTGCTCTCCTGTACAGAAGCTATTCTTAACCTTTTTGGGGGCTGAGTAGAGGGTGAGGTGTTATTCAGGTATCCTCTTGAGAATCTGATGAAAGCTATAAGTACTTTTTTGCCTGCTGTTCTAAGGAATTCACAGATCCCCACGAAGCTTTTATGTGGACCCAATTTAACACTGCAGAAGAATACTGAATGTGAATCCTGTGTTTAATTTGTATTTCTCTTCATAAAACGACCAGACTACTAAAGTATCTAAAGAAATTCCTGGGACTTCTTTGGGGTTTTGTTGTGAATCAAAACATTTCAGAACTATTCCTAATGATTAGAGATGCAGTAGTACTGTTCCCTATTTATTATTAGTTCTGTCCTTGTGAGCATGCAGTTTATAAACATAAGTGGCCATTTCCACAGTTGCCCGAAGTGCACACTTCTGCTGCTTTCTGCAGCCAGAGGAACTACTGTCCTAAAAAGTCAAGGGCTCCAGTCCCCAGCTGCTCTTCCTTGCTCTCCTGACTACAGCCTTCTCCCCACTTCTTCCTGGTATTCTGTACCAGACCATACCCTAGGTACCCCACTGAGCTCCTCTGTTAGTTGGAATAAAGTTGTGTTTCCTTAACCCCAAATTGAAATCTCAATGAAATTTCCCTCGACAGCATTGATGAAATATAGTAACATCAGCATTGTGGTTTGAATACATTGGGTGGAATTAACCTCTGTGGCTTGCTTGGTTTCAAAAAGGATGCATAGCTGCTAACATTGTATCTGTGGAAATATTAGGAACAGAATCCAAACTACTGGTTTTTAAACAGTTTCAAAGTACAACTGTTGTATAGATTAGGAATTACCCTTTGGGGTCATATTTTTAAAAAATCTTAAAGATCTTTGATAACTTAATAATTTATTTTGAATGAACAAACACATTGAAACTATCCTACTGATCCTCTGGCACCCTAGCCTTTGGCTTGGGTTATTGAGAAGTACTATCAATTTCTGTTTAAAACACTCACCTACAAATTCTAAGAAAGACTCCTATACTCTGTATTTACTGCATTTATGTATTTAATACTCACTTTAGCTATTAGATTGCAAGACATAAAAGACTTAAATCGGAAGAGAAGGACCAGATAGGCACTGAATTATAGCTTACAGTTCTATTCATGGTGACAAGAATATCAGATCTCTTTATATATACAGTCCTCTCTTAAATAAAGTGCCTGGTTCTTGGAATTAGCCAAAAACCTGTTCCAAGAAATCTCTGGACTTTCCCACTTGCCTGGCCTCTGGAAAGGCAGAAATCTGCCATGTGCCTGGTATTTGGAGGAGTTAAAATTAATTTGGCCCAGCTGGCGTGGCTCTGGTTGAGCATCAGCCTATGATCCAGGAGATCATGGTTCGATTCCCTGTCAGGGCACATGCCCGGGTTGCAGGCTTGATCTCCAGTAGGGAATGTGCAGGAGGCAGACCATCAATGACTCTTTCATCACTGATGTGTCTCTCTCTCTCTCTCCTTTCCCCCCTTTGGAATCAGTAAAAACATATTAAAATAATAATCTTTAAAAAAATTAATTTGTATCTGATCCTGATTAATGACTATATATACACATAATCTGTATGAAAAGAAAATAAGTCATCACTAGTTTTTTTAGTAAAGCTTGTGTTTTATAGATGGAAAATATCACAAGCAAATTAAAATAGAGGAGAATGCCACAGGATTCAGTTACGAGTCACTTTTTCAAGAATACCTTAATGAGACAGTTACAGAAGTTTGGGTAGAAGATCCTTATATTAGACAGACTCATCAGGTGAGTGTAACATACTAACGTGTCTTGAAATGTTATTTAAAATGTACGAGTTGGCAGTAACCCATCCTAACATCTTTCAGCTGTATAACTTTCTTCGATTTTGTGAGATGCTTATTAAGAGACCGTGTAACGTGAAAACGATTCACCTTCTCACCTCCATGGATGAAGTAGGTATCTGAAGGCATTTATTCTTTCATAACTTCATTTTATTCAGTTACAAGATTCAGGTCAAGCGAGGGAAGCCTGGATGTAATGCTTCAGCTAGAGCTATCTTCTTGAGGTCAACTTATCATCTAACAGTGGGCGTAAAACACCTTGAGGAAATGCGGTTGATTTTAGTGTCTTGTACCTTGCATTTGGCCACTTTGCTAAACTTTATCCAAACAGTTTGTCAGTTCAGTCTCTTGGATGTTCTAGGAGATAATCGTACTGTCTACACTATTAACAGTTTTGTCTCTCTCTTTTTTCTCCCCACCAGTTATTACATGTATCTCTTTTTCTTGATTGATTGCATTGGCATTCTGGGGGGTCATAGCATGAGAGTGGGCATCTCTCTCTTGATTTTGACTTACATAGGAATGCTTCTAAATAATTCAGATTTCTAGGATTAATCTGAGGACAAGCTAGCCCCATCTGAACAACTACACAGTATTACTAAAATACATTTTAGGAGATAGGACAGAGTTATATGTCCACATTAGAAAGAACAATTAATATTTTGATAAAAACATAGCTCATAAACGATTTCATATTCTTTGAGATTAATAGACATTGAAACTAGTGTAGAATCTTTCCATTTTAATTCACCACAATACACATTGCATAGCTCAGGGATAATTTAAAATATTAATAACTAATGCAGAAAATTGTATTTTTTTCCTATTAACAGGGCATTGGGAAGGGGCAGCAAATTAGTGGCCTGAAAGAAATAAAAGAGTCACTCAGGAATCATGGAGTGCTTCTGGAATTAGAATACTCTTCTTCAATACATGACCGAGAAATTAGGTTAGTGTATAGTAATATTTCAACTTCCATGCAGTGGAAAAGTACTTTTTATTTCTGTTAAGTTTCATATAATTGCATATAAATGTCCAATTTAAAGTTTGAAGTTTTTAAATAAAGCTCAGTTATAGTGTCTTTTCACTTTTGAAAAAAATCTGGCTTATTTTGTCCTGCATGTGAGTTTCATATTTTCTAATGGAATAAAATTTACATGTTCTATGTCATGTGAGAAGTAGTACTTTTCTGCCTGATGTTACAGTATTGGGAGAATTTATTTCATTCTCTAGTGATACTGATATTTATTTAATGTGCCTTTACATCTTACAGTTTATAAAATGTTCTAGTTGGATGACAGTATGCTGTGTCTGTAAGGAAATAATATATGCAGTTTTTTAGTGGTATGTTTCCTCATTTAGCACGGTGCCTTTCATATCTTTATAGTGATTGCACCCCCAGTTTTAGTGAAAACTTCAGTATAACCTAAATGCAAAACAGATGAAAATGTAGCTGCTGTGGGTGAAGCAGACAGAACTCAGGATCCAGAGCTCTTCCTGCTTACATCCCCCATTGCTAGGTAGGAAACCTGAGTATACTTTGAAACCATCTATTGGCAGAACAGGAAAGTTCTATCAGCAAGCTGAAATTCAAGAGTAAGTTTTTTTGTTGCTTTTCTTTTATCCTTACCTGAGGATATGTTTATTGATTTTTAAAGAGAGAGGAAGGGGGAGGGAGGGAGAGATGGAGAGAGAGACATTGATGTGAAAGAGAAACATTGATTGGTTGCCTCCCCTATGTGCCCTGACTGGGGATCGAACCGCAACCTTTTGGTGTATGGGATGATGCCCTAGCCAACTGAACTACGCGGCCAGGGCTCAAGAGTAAGTTGTAATGTAATTGTTAAACCCTTTATCAGTTAATCAAATCGACCCATGGTTTCTGTGGACATTTTTTCGTTATAGACACAGTCCAAACCTCAGGTTTGGTTCAAGTCATGCTACTGGAGGAAATGACTTTTTGTTAGGGGGAGATTTGCTGACGCTTTATACCCTACAGCTTTGCTAATTGTTTGACATAACTGTCTGGAATATAATACTATATACTAATTTCAACAGGTTCAACAATGGATGGATGATTAAGATTGGAAGGGGACTGGATTATTTTAAGAAACCACAGGTAGGATATAGCTTTATGAGTGGGCAGCACTCTTTCTGTATCACTTTAACATCGCTTTAGTCTTTTTTGTTAAAAAACTATTTTCTTTTCTTCTTAGGGTCGTTTCTCCCTTGGGTATTGTGACTTCGATTTAAGACCGTGTCATGAAACAACAGTGAACATTTTTCATAACAAGCACACACAAAAAGCATGATGGCTTGTAGCTTGATTTACATTGTGTACTTCTAAATGAATATTGGAATTTTTTTACTTTGAACAGATCATTCTTATACTGTAAATTTAATAATAAACTTGTACATTTCTACTAATCTATGGATCCATTGTTCAGTTGTGACCATTTTTCAGTGTGACCAATCCTAAATATTTGTGTAAATACATTATACTTGTAGTGTTTTAGTCATATGGTTAATTTAAACATTTTACCAGCTTTTTTCTTACTTGGCTGTTGGACAGTGAATCAACAAATAATGAGCACCTATTAAAAAGATGAATTGGGAATTTAGAGTCCAGGAGGAAAAATGATGGATAAGAGTACTCTTAAGAGACAGATGAACTTGTGGGTCTAATATCCAGGGAAAAAGTAAAGTGTTAATTTTGTTAAAATTAAATGTCTTTGGCAGACATTCACCAATATTTAGTTATCCAATATGACCTAACTCCATAATGCAAATCCACCTATTTAGTTATCCAGATGCACTTTGCAGCTCATCCATCCTTGGCTGGCATATTTGTAAAGCTTTGCAGTTTAGAATCAACTGTTCTCGGTAAGCTCATACATCCAGATGCCAGTTGACTGGTTGGGGACAAAGACTAGGTTGCATGGAGTTAGACTGGGAGAGTGGATACAAGTAGAAGCAATGGCCAGTCCAGAAGCTTAAAGAATAAGCTAAACCAGAGTCTACAGAGAGAAAGAGTAGTACTGGTGTTGGAGAGGGCACATACAAACATCACATAAGGAGAAGACTGAAGGTTAAATTCAAGATTAAATAGTGTGGAAGACCACAGCCAGGTGGAGGGAAGCCATGGGACTAAGATTGAGCAGAGTTGTCCTGGGTGGCTTTAGACCAGGTTTATGTGTTGCCTCTGTGAGCCAGCAGGTACATGATTGAGTTGGCATAAAAGAACAAGAAGGGCTTCCAGAAAAGTTCCTGATGTTTTTCTTTGATGTTTTCAGGTTCAGGTGCCAATAATGCTGAATCTGAAAATACTCAAACTAGTTTTACCCAGCTTTATTATATGTGTCATGGGTGAAGGGGTTCTTGCCTTGAACCTCCCAAGATAGAAATCAAGAGAGGAGGTGAAAAGTCCAAAAGAAGAGGTTGACTGAAAACAAGGTGGAGGGAAAGGAGAAAGGGAGGGAGCTTGATGCATCAAGGGAGCACACACTAATGAAGAATATGGCTCCTGGAACTGCTGCTGGGGTCTTGATTGGTTCTTCACCGGGGAGCAGAGCGGAGCTCTTTGCTTTCCAGGTTCCCGCCCTGGGCTGTACCAACCAGTGCAGGCACAGAGCAAAGCTCTTTGGGGAATGCCTGGAGAGAAACTTTAAATGTATTGGCTCAAAAAAATAAGAAACAATTGAAGAGCATTTCCATCTGTTTAAGAGAGGCTTGGCCTGTCTCTCATGGAAATTCCGGGTCTCAGGAGAGCACCTGGACAAATACTGGACCTGATCAAAAGTTCCTTTCTGCAGAGAATCCTGGCTTATTCTGCCAGGTACCCATTGTCACGTGGAAGTAGAATGGCTTTTCATCGTTCAGATGAAAATGTGTTAGACCTCCTTTGCTTTCATGTTAAAATAACTCTTGATTTCTAGAGCTTCTGGATCTGTCACTAGAGAATCAGCAATCCATAACCCTGTGAAGTTAGCTTTTATTCAACTCATAGAAATTCTGCCTAAGAGATAATGGTATTTAAGGAAGAGAGTGTACAGACATTCCATCCATTGTTCTAAATATTTGAAGTTCTATCCCCAGATCCAATTAGACTACCAGAAGGATACCAGATGCAAGTTTACCTATTAAACATATCGAGAAATGTGCAAGAACTATATTAAAAAAAAAACTATAAGCTTTACAGAAGGGTATAAAAGAAAACTAGAGTAACTGAAGAGACAAATTCTATTCCTGAATGGCAAGGCTTAGTAAGATGTCAGTTCTCTCTAAGTTAATTTATAAATTAAATGACAAAAGAGACTACAGTAGGAGACTTGCTTGACAAGCTATAAAGACAAAGCTACACATTTTTTTAAAGAATATCTGGGCATAAGAATGGCTAAATAAGTCAGTGGGAGGTGAACCAAGGTTAGGAAGAGCTCAGGGCTCCTAAGAGTACACTAGGCTTGATTCAGTGGGAGAGGGCGGGCAGATAAGAAGACAGAACAAACGGAGAATTTAGAGTTTAAGGTAGAGGTGGCAAGAAGCCTGGGTTGTATTCCTCAGAGGTAAGAAAAAGAACTCAGGTCAGAGTGTCCAATGTAAACACTCCCAAGATGGTAAGAGAGGCAGGAGCTAAAATATAAATGCACGCCAGGCATTACAGTTAGGGAGGAAAGAGACAGTATCTGGGAGGTCAGAAAATACGGACAAGGGTAGGTGATAGACACAAATGGGAGAAGTTACTGAAAAAGACTAGGCCCTTTTAATTTTAAGACACATACAATGTACACTGAAAATTTTAATTTTCTCAATGAACCTGCTGTCAATATTAACTTCTGTGCAATCACATTATTCCCTTAATTTTTTCACAGAGAATATTCCACTTACTGTGTAGCTCGTCATCTTCTGGACATGTTCTATGTAATGTATTTATCAGCATAGTAGTTTCAATTGGGCAAAACTTACTGCCAATAAAACTTGAATTTAATTTGTCACGTATTTCCAGTGGCAACCAGTGATCAGGTGCTTCAATGTTACAAGTTTCAATTCTCCCATTCTTTACATCTATGAGAACTTTAATTTCCAAGTGTGACTGTTCATGAAGCACATTAAAGGAAGTTTTTATACTGAACTTTGGAGTTTTGCCATAGATCCATTCCCAAGTCTGCAGTTCTTTGGCTTTGCTATTTATTCCAGGAAACTGTGCCTCGTCTGACGGGTTTATCAGGTTGATGTGATTATCAATCTGATGATAAGCAGCATACTCTGCAGCAACAGCATTTATCAGTACTTCACTGGTCAGAGTGGGGTCTTTTTCCAACAGGCTTTTTACTAAGGCAGGTATGCTAGCCGTGGCATTGCTCGTGATCCCCTGGTAAGGGCTCTTGAGCACAGAGGACAAGAGGGTCCCATCGGTACTACATAACAAAGTGCAATGGTGATAAGCAGCAGTCCGGCCAATCTTGGAAGCTGTTCCTGAGATTTTAAATTGTCCGTCAAGTAAAAGGTCAAACCTTTTGGTAGGCTGCACGTCCAGCTGGGGTTGGACGGCATTCAGAGCTCTCACAACTAACTTTAGATTTTCCATCCGGTTATACTTTTTTTTGGTTGTAAAAAAAGTCATATTGATATTACCCATATCATGGTAAACTGTGCCTCCTCCACTTCTTCTCCGAGCCAGTTTTACACCTTTTCCTCTCATCAGATTCAGGTTACATTCCTGCCAAGGATTCTGATGCCTACCGATTACAACAGAGGGAGAATTTCTCCAAAAGAACAGAACCGGCTTGCCTTCTAGGTTCATGTGCTCATGGATCCAGTCTTCCACAGCCAGGTTTTGGTACACATCACTGGACACCGACTGTAAAATGAGCCCACTTTTGACTGTACTTTTAAAGCCAGTTGCTGGGACCTTGAGGTTACAAAGTAACTGGAAGCAATTCTTCTTTGAAAATGGGATCAGCATGCTTTTAAAAATGGAAGACAAATTAATTGAGAAAAGGAAAATTAAATTGTTTTCTAGTTATCGATTCTTCGCTATTTAATCCAAACTTCTGTAATTCTCTATCTGGGACAGTTGCTTTTCTTGCCTCTTAGCTTTACCATTCGTCTTTAGCAATTCTACAACAGAGTACTCAAAGGAAATAAATGAAGACAAACCTCAATTTCTGTTGAAATGGCATAAGGGAACAGATTTTGCAAACAATAAACCTGTAAATATATTATGTAATATATATCAAGGCCAAACCAGTTATTTTGGATTCACAGGTAATACATGTTCATTGAGAAAAATGAGAATATATAGATAAGCAAAAAGAGCAAATTAAAAGACTCCATACCACCACCTGGAGGTAATCACACAATTTGGTGTGTACCCATTTTTCTCTGCATGTGTAACACACACATACTTTCCCCCACAGAAGTAGAACCATACTATTATTTCATTCAACATTAAATCTGTTTTTACATCAGCTTTAATGTTATGTAATATTCCACTGTCAGATACACCACAGTTTACTCAATCAACCTCTTAGTTTGTAATTTTAGGTTGTTTCTAGTTTTTCTGTGTTATCAACAATGTATTCTTAACATCTCTGTCGAAAGCTTTAATTATGCCCTTATATTTTTAAAATAATGCCTATTTGACATTGAGATATATTATAATTTACTGGCAACAAAACGTTTAGATCAACATTAGATTAGGATGGATCCTCTGAGGTGGGTCGAGGGGAGAGACAATCCAAGTAGCAGGTTATGTGGAAAGGTTATGAACAATTTTATTATGCTTGGATACTTTACACTTTTTTTTTAAAGCAGTGCTGATGAAATATTAGGTGGCAAAAGGCTGAAAATACTAGCTACACAAATGAAGTATTTTGACTAGTTATGGTCATAAAGAAACCATTTTGTTCCAATTCTGTTTCTTAGGATGGTCATAATTTTCCTTTAGGTTAAAGAACTGGGATAGAATGGATTAATAAAGTCCATAACTAGGCCAAATTCTTTTGTAGTTAAAGTCCATAACTAGAACAAATTCCCAGGTTAAAGAGTTTCACCACTCTTGATATATTTTGATAAATTATGCTATGGAAAAGTTGAACCAATTTACACTCTGTCCAGAAAGGTCAGGAGAGTTTAATAGAGGAAGGGATGCTTGAACTGTTTTGAAATCTGACTGTGTTTACCAAGTGGATGGGAGTAGCACATTCCAAGCATATGCAAAGACAAGGAGTCATTTAATAGTAAGGCATGTTTTGGGGACTCTCTTCCCAGGGACAGAGTTACACTACTAGTCTTCTAGCTCCAATAACATCTATGGCTACACTGCCCTAGGGAGTCTCTGCAGCCAGACTGCATTTTTTTGGTTAAACCCTTTGTTCTTAGTTCTGTTTGAGTTGGATATAGTCCTTCATTCACTCACCCAATATTTATGGACTGCCTACTAGGCACAAGGAAGTAAGGGAACAGAAGGAGAGGAGACAAATTCATGTAATTTTAAAACATTTGGACTTTTTCTAAAAGCAACTGGGTTCTATTGAAGTGTTTTAAGCAGGCAGAAGTTAAGCCAGGCATTAAACAAAACTAGCACTGCCAGCAATGTTGAGCATGAATTAAAGAAAAGCTAGACTAGGGGCAGGGAGACCGTTAATAGACTACTGCAGCTGCCCAAGCTAGAGATAAGGAGGGCCTGAACTAGGGTAGCAGACATAAAGGAGGGGATGAATATGAGACATTTAAGGTCATAGACTGGTTCTTGTCTTCAAGGAACTTACAATCTACTGGGAGATAATTAAAAAGCAATTAAGGCAATAATTAAAATAGTGTCATAAGTGCTGTGATAGGGTAAGTACATTAGAGGGCGTTTTATTCCTCAAATTAGTGGAAGTGACATTGAAGCTTAGATGTAAAGGGGTAAGGAAAAGTGTGACAACAAAGTGTAACAGCTTGGACGAAAAAAGACCCATTCAAAGAATTTAATTCCAATGGCTGACACTTAGGATGTACAAGACCACTGGTACTTAAGGGGGCAAGATCAGAGAGCTGCAAGATACAGGAGGCGGGAGAAGTAGAGGTCAGATTATCCATGTTAAATGCTTAACTTTACCCTGAGGTCCATGGAGGAGGTGCTGAAGAGTTTTAAGGAAGCAGGAAGATCAGATTTATACTTCAGAGATATCACCTAGAGATTTAAGCACAGGGAATCTATCATACTTGGTAAGTGGTTGAATGGGAATGAGAGGCAGAAGTCAAGGGTCTTATCTTTTATGGTATAATGATTACAACCTCAAGCCAGAGTAACAGCATTCAAATCCCAACTCTGTCTCTTACCAGCTGAATGACCTAAAGCTGACTTTTACTGCGCCTCAGATACTGTATCCCTAATATCTGGGTAAGGACAAGACTCATCAGGATTAAATGAACTAACGTGTAAAGTGCTTATAAGAGTGCCTGGCACATAGAAAGTACACAACATGTTAGCTCTTTTATTAATTTATGCCCTGATTTCTGGCCTGGCAAATGGATGGAAAAAGGTGACGTTTCCTGGGACAGATTTCATAGAAAGAGGAAGTGTGGGGTAAAGATAATTGGTTCATTTTGACAGTGTTAAACTTGAGAGTCTATGGTTATCCAGCAGCCAGTGGCACACAGCTGAAGAGATGGTAACTGAGGCCATGGGAAGGGACTGGATTGTCCAGAGAGGGTTCAGTGAGAAGACATGAGAGCCTTAGAGCCTCAAAAAGCAGAAACATTTAAGGGATATGCAGAGGTAGGAGGGAGAGCTCCCAAAGGAAACAGAAGAAAAGGAAGACATTTTAAAATACGGTATTATAGAAGCTTCAAGGAGACATGGTTAACATTGCCAAATGCTGAAGATAGATAAAACGAGGGTTGAAAATTATCTACTTGAGATAATAACATCAAGATTATTAGTGATGTTGACAAGAAACATGTTGAGTAAAGTGGAGACAATTATATTCTAGGTGCAAATTGGAAAAGCTCTGGTCATGTGGAATGCGGAGTTAGGACACAATTTAAAATGCAAGAGAACTGAGCATGTTTAGATCTGATAGGAGTCAGGAGAGGGAATGAGGGTGACATTGGTTAAGGGATAAAGTGGTGTTGTTGGACCCAGAGTTCAGACAGGGAGGGAGGCAGCCTCGACAGCAGACAGGATCCTCTTTCATTGTGATCCAAGGGAGACACAGTAACAAATAGTGGTGGATGTTAACATGCTGAACAGTGTCTGTGGATTTGGAGATTCTCAAAGGCCCTGTGACACATCCTTCCCTAAGGTTAAGGCTCTGATTGTTGTCTGCATATGCAGAGGGTGGGAGGACAGCAAAGTGGTTAAGAACTTAAGGTCCCCTCTTCAGTTTTATCCAGATATAATTGGCATACAGGTATACTTCATTTTACTGCACTATGTTTTATTGCATTTTGCAGATAATGAGTTGCATCAGTATGGAGGCAAGACCCTCCACCAGACAAAAGATTACAACTTGCTGAAGGCTGAGATGATGGTTAGCATTTTTTAGTAATAAAGTATTTTCAGATTAAGGCATGTACGTACATTATTTTTTTAGACATACTACTATTGCACACTTGACTACAGTGTAAACATAACTTTAAAAAAGTTTTTTATTGATTTGAGAGAAAGAGAGAAACATCAATTTGTTGTCCCACTTATTTATGCATTCATGGGTTGATTCTTGTATATGCCCTTACTAGGGATCAAACTTGCAACCATGGCTTATCTGGATGAGACTCTAACCAACTGAGCAAACTGGCCAAAGCATATAGAGCTTAAATTTTAATCCTGGCTCTGCCACTTCTAACTGAATAACCTTAGGCAAGTAGTTTAACCTCTAGCTGCTTCAATTGCCTCATTTACAAAATGTTCCTACCTCATAGAGTGGTTAAGAGAATTAAATGGGGTGACATGCATTAAGCACTCATGCCTGGCAAATATGCAAAGCTCTACTCCATTAACTGTTGTTATACAGTTCTCACCTTCCCATCTCTGTTCTCACACTGTTTGTCATATGATATGTATTCCCTCCAAGACCTTAACAGAAAAGTATACAAAGATTTCTAACCAAGACACATCAAAGTTGCATTTACCTTGGTTAATTAACGATAGTGCAAGATACTGATTTTGGTCAAAGATGTGATCTTGTTAGGATTCCAGAACTGATCCAATTCATTGACAGTGCTCAGAATATCTCTGTTCATCCAGGCGCTGTGTATACACTGTGAATGAAACACAACAAAGGTTATTAATTCAACAAATCTGGCATCTACTACAGGACAGGCATTGCTCTTGGCAGGTGGGGTTCATGAATGAACCAAATAAATAAAGGTGACTAGGGCAATAGGAAAACGAAAAAGGCTTGGAAAGGGAGGATTGCAAAGGTGTATGTAAGAGGAACTGGGCTGCAATTTTAAATAGGTTTGTCAGGCTAGGCTTCACTTAAAAAGGGGCATCTGAGCGAGGATTGAGAGTGCTGAGGAAGTCAGGCTGAGTGACCATGTACCAGAAACTGTTCTAGGCACCTGAACACAAATAAGCCCCTGAGAGGATGTAACATTTCACCCGAGCCCTGAAGAATGAGAAGAATCACTCAGCTTGAGAAAAAGTGGAAACAAAGGGATGTCTGAAGACACCTGAATGCCAATTTATTAGTTTACAGAGAACTGTAGGCTGTCCAGCCGACATTCGGATCAGCTTCTCCAACCTACCATCATTTTGCTTGGTGAATACAGAATCCGAACAGAAGGACTGAGTTACAGGATTTCACTGTCTGATGGGACGAGCCCTTTGGAAACCACCTTGTAAACTCCTGCGCTCTGGACAGATCCTGCTATTAAAACCAGGACATCCTCTCTCTCCTGGAGGAGGCTTGGATTCCTCTGCGACAGCGGCACCTCTCGTGCTTCATGCTTCAGTAACAGGCCCTAACTGAATGACACTCTTTCGTCGTCAGGATAGTCAAGACTGAAGGCCTGGTAAACTTTTGTTAATTTCAACTAACTCTGCGTGTCTCTACTCTCACCTTGTACTGACGAATTGTAAAGTTTTCCCCCAGAGGAATCTTGTTTCCATGTTCCAGGGGACGCGTTGCACTGCTGAGCACGCTTCGTCTCATCCGCGATCAGAGGGCAAAACACAACACAGTCCTCCTTATCCGCCCAGGCAGGCCCAGCTCCTTCGAAGCGCCTTTCCGAGTCATTCTGCCAGCTCTGGCGGTGCGTCCCTTACCCAGAGTCTCTCCACAGTCGTGTGCACGTTTGATTTCGCCTTTTGGGCTCCGTGGGAGCGCGCCCGGCTGGCACCCGGCACGTCTTAGTTTTTACCCTCCGGTAGTGGGAAGAAACCTTTCCAACCACCGAGCTGACTATTCCCAAGGGCTGAGGGCAAACTGCGGCGCCTCCGTCACCAGCGCGCGGAGCCCCGCCCGGGGGCAGGGTCCCACCTTC